GCCAATTGCTCAGGTCTCCTTTAAGCCACATCGCTTCCAAAGTGCCATTAACAGGGCCTTAAAAGGTTTCTGTTGGCGAACGCGGGCAAATCTCTGGGCTCAACGCCCATTAAATCCCCACGGAACGCGAAGTAAGCCACTGGTTCAAATCCCACCCTGCGTTTAAAAAATAGTAAATGCCACGTCAAGCTCTCTGGGCCATCTAAGTAGCCTAGGTGGATTACCGTGTCTCTAACAACTGGGCTCCAGGGAATGCCCCCCACTGCTGGCAGCCCACAGCGACTGTCCCTCCCCCGGAACCCCCTGCTTAGCCTGCCCCATACCCAAGAGAGGTCAGCCGAGGGGCAACCGCCGCTCGCGCGGACCCACAGTCCCCTTCAAGTCGAAGGGGACGAAGCCCCCGCCATCCCACCTCTCCAGAGCTCCGCGGCTCCAACCACCGGGCTCCCGCCCCCACGGCACGCGCTGGGTTCCTGTCCTGGGGGAGGTCTGTAGTCCCGAGGGTGAGGGCCGTGGCGGCTAGCAGGAAGAGCGAGGGGAACGCCTACCAGGGGTTCGAGCGACCCTAACGGGGGAGGAACGAGAACTCCGAAAGATCAGGTCATACCTGCCGAGCCGGGACCCGCCGCTCCGAGTGACGCGACCCGCAATGCATTGTGGGGCCAGGGAGTGGCCTTTCTGCGGGGCAGCCCCGCGTTCAACGTGGCTGGCGTCCGACGGGATCAAGCTCCGCCCCCGTTTCTTTGGCTCACCCGGGCCAATCAGGTTCTGTGGGAAGGACACACTGACCCGCCCCCTCCTGGGGCCCGATGTAGTCCCGCCCCCATCCAGGAAAGATTGGCAGCTTTTCACGCACCTGCGCCAAGAGGTTGCCAAGTCCTCTGGTGACACTGACAGCTAATGCTGTCTCTCACAAATAAAGCTAATCTCTTCTGCCTGCTGCTTGTGTCTGGAGGCAGTGTGTCTCTCACGCGGCCCTACAGCAAACACTTACCCAAGCAGCAGGGGGGAAAAGCCCCCTCTGAGTGAGCAAGAAAAGGACTTGCCCCATCTATCACCACGCAAGAGGAAGCACCTAACCTTGGCAGAGAAATGGCAGATGCAGACCCTGCGGCCCCTTCCAACCTTTGCATGGGTCATGCATTGTTAAATAAGCACTTAATGACTGTGTACCACGTGCAAAGCACGGTGTTAGGCATTGGGTTACAGGAACAAACATAACCACTGGATGGAATCTAAAGTGCAATAGGAGCAAGAGACGTTAAAGCATAAATCATTACATAATTATAAATTGTCATCAGTACTATGAAGGAAAATTAGTAGGTATGATGATGGATTAATTCTGGACTATCAGGGAAGATGTCTTTGAAGAAGTGCCTTTTAAGTTCCAGGCATATGAGAAAGCCTAAAAGAATGTTTCAAGCCAAGAGAACATTAAGTGTTAGGTTGTTGGGGGCATGAAAGAACTTGGTGTGTTCTAGGAACTGAAAGGAAGTCAGTGTGGTTGAAATGTAGGGAGCGAGCTTGGGCAGAGATGAGACAGAAGCCAGACCATGCAGGCTCTTATTGGCCACATAATAGATTTTAGATTGTATTTTGGAATGTATCCTAAGGTTAATGGGCAGCTAATAGAGAATGTTAAATAGGATCTGATTTACATATTTAAAAGCTCACTCAGGCTATTTGTGGGAAATAGTTTAGAAGAGGACAGGAAGGGTTGCTGAAAGGCCAGGTTGGAGGCAGGTTATATTAGTCAAGGCCAGAGATGATGGTGGCTTGAACTAGGGTAATGGCAGTAGAGACAGTGAGAGTTGGATAATTTCAGGACATGTATAAATGAGAGGTGGAATCCAAGGGACTTAATAATGGATTGGTTTTCTGGGAAGAGAAAAGAAAAGAGCATTAAGAATGACTCCTTAAGGCGGGGGCAGCAGCGCGGCAGGCGGGGGCCGAGACCCAGACTGCCAAGCGGTGGGCACCCGGGAGGCCCAGAGCGGGGCGAGCGCCATGAGCCGCAAATGCTACGTGGTCGTGGTGGGGGGCAGCATCTCAGGCATGGCAGCGGCCAAGCTTCTGCATGACTCTGGCCTGAATGTGATTGTTCTGGAAGCCCGAGACCGGATGGGAGGCAGGACTTACACCATCAGGAACCAAAAGATTAAATATGTGGACCTTGGAAGATCTTATGTTGGGCCAACTCAGAATCGTATCTTAAGATTAGCCAAGGAGCTAGGACTGGAGACCTACAAAGTGAATGAGCTAGAGCATCTCATCCACCACGTAAAGGTGGAAATGAGCAGTACAGAGACATACTCCTCACTGGTAGAAATCATCCCTTTAGAAGACAGAAGTACCTAGCAGCAGTCAACTTAGATTTACATTAACAATGTTGACACCCTTATATTATTTGTGAGTGATAATATCAAGAAGGACAAAAAGCAGACTGTACATTATGAGTCATTTAATAAAACAGGAAATAAACATCTGTCTAATTTGGTAAAAAAAAAAAAAAAGAATGACTCCTTAAGTAACTAGATGGATTAAGAAGCCATTTACTGATTCAGGGAATGTAAAAAGAGGAGCAAATGGTTTTGGATATGAGTTTGAGATGCTTACAAACAGAGGGGTCAAACAGATTTGAATGTGGAAGTCTGGAGTTCAGAAGAAATGTCTGGACTAATTATATAAATTTGGTGGTTATTGAAGTGGGTTAACCCAGCAATTCTACTCCTAGGTATATATGCAGTAGAAACATATCCATGTGTTCACCAAAAGACATATATAAGAATGTTAATAGGATGGGGGCGCCTGGGTGGCTCAGTCGTTACGCATCTGCCTTTGGCTCAGGTCATGGTCCCAGGGTCCTGGGATCGAGCCCCGCATCGGGCTCCCTGCTCCGCAGGAAGCCTGCTTCTCCCTC